TTTAGTAAAAAGGTGCACCACTTCTGAGGGAATTCCTCTTCAAGATAGATATATTAAATTAATTCACAAAGGACTGATGCACACCACCTATGTGGAAATGTCTTAAATCTAACAATCAAGGAACATACGCTAAACATGCTAGATGGTTGGATGGCAAGATGCCATAAACCCAGGTTTCGCCCTTAGTAGCACTTGTTAGTAAGATTTACCTACAACGTAGAAGGAACTAATCTCGTCCGGTATTACCGATCCAATCCCATCCCAATTCAGATTTCATCATGATATCGAATCTTTTAGTTTGGTGATCACTTTACAAAATTCATGGGTATTATTCGGGAAATAGTGAGAACCATACAGTGTGACATCAATCACCTCATAGTGACCGATACATTTATATGCTGAATATTTATTTGAGATGCTTAGTAAATTTATTCAAAAGAATTTGAGTTTTGTCAGCATCTTCTGTTTACAGGACTGTCTGAGTGGTCTAAATTAGTTAACCTCTACCTAGGTGGCAAATTAATTTCTAAAGGATAGTAAATACTCAGAGCTTTCGCCAAAAACACCTTCATAGTAAAGTCAAACACAAACAGCAGATAATATGCAACAGTGATTGATGGGACGCAGTAAACTATACGGCTTATATCAGCAGAAACCTAGGACTTTGTATAGTTTTAGCTATTATTGCACCAGATAAGTTCTTGGTTCTCGAAGATAGAATAGAAGTCCTCTTTTAAATCAAATCGTGTCAGAATTGAAAGTATACATCAATTCTCCAAAATCGTGTACCTATTAAGAAAATATGATACACCTAATCACATTCAATACTTCATGCACGTCATCACCGATTTATACCAAAGAAGCTATGATGAAATTAGATTTCATTACAAACTGATATCAGTTAGAGAACCATTGAAAACCAGGGTGTACTGGATAGCTATTGTGTTTCCTTTAAGGACCATTCAGGTGCATGCATGCATGATTCCACAGCAGAAGAAACGATTGTCTAGTACTCTCTGGTTTTGAAATTTTTGCTAATCAATATCGATTCATCATGAAGTCTGACTTGAATTCAATCAAATCAATACAATCGACACTAATATAACTAATTGCCTATGTTTAAGATTGAGGAAATGAATGTGAACACAAACAAACTGACTGATCATTAGTCCAACAATCCATCAAGTAATGCCAATCTAAGCAATTTACAAATATGATGGCTTTGTGTACATTTGGTAGTGACGAAATAATTTTGGTATTGTGTTCTCCCACCTGAACAGTTCATTTCAAAGTTCATATTAAATATGTTGTCTAGGAAAACACTAAGAGGTTAATAGTTAAACTATGCAGCTCAAACAACGCAGAAATGCCAAAACCATCCACCTAGGCTACAAATTTTCTCCATCGACGGTGAGTTGATTTTCTACTGAAAATTTATCTATGGTTATTCATCGGCTTAAATAAAGAGAAATAATTTTATTTTCTAACACTAACTATGAGATGCTCTGAATGATACGTAAGTCAGTTTTATCAAGCACTAGTAATCATCCTGCTTACTGTTTCGATACACGCATAACACGAATTTCAGTTAACCATAAATAACTCTTAGTACTTTTTAATAAAAATCTCTTCTTTCGCTACTCAACTTTATATTTTGATTTTGAGTTCAGTATCACTTTTAGAACTGATGCTACTTTGTCTCTCTCTCTCTCTGTCAGTCTTTCTTTGACTACTAATATCGATTACAAATGATACCTATTATTACTACTATATGCTATCTACTGACTGCTATTACGATTTAGTGTTATTATCCTTATAAGTTTATCGATTAACTTCTTTACTCGTAATTAGATTCAGCTTACGATATAATTTATACATCACGTGAGTATATTATATTTGTGATTTAATTAGGCATTTCTTATGATTAATATCATTGTGAATTCATTTCATGTTAAGATTGAAAATTAATGATGATATCATTCAGTAACATAGTTGGTCGAATAATAATGAAATATTTCAAGTAAAATTATGCTCAAATTTTTATTAAGCGAAATTTAATTCGTAAAATGTTTTGTTGTTTTTTTCATTTAAGGTAGATATCGCCCCGAATCGTCTTATATACCAACCATATGAAGATGAACTGAAACGAATGATATTGTTCAGACAGTATTATATGATAATTTTATGTAACTATTAGGGATATCACTAGACAAGCCATCACTCGAGTGGAACCCGAAAGGGAAGCGGCGAGTTGGTCGTCAGTGCAAGGGTGACTTGGAGGAGGTCATGTGAAGAGGAGATGAAAACGTGTGGGCAGACTTGGAGCCAGGTGAAGACTGTAGCAGAGAACCGAACGCAATGGAGACGCACGGCTGAAGCCCTATATTCCTCTAGGAACTAAAGGAAACAATAATAATAAATAACATTAATTCTGTAATATTTGCCTATGCATCGTTTGAAAAAATGAACTTAAATATCTTTCAGTTACTCCTTTAATGTCCTCCATAAAATTGATTAAATCTACTACAGGTTACGGAGTAGTAGACTGGGAGTACTGAGAGTACTAGACAGCCATTTCGCCCCAGTGCGGGACTCTTTGTCATTACGCATCACTGGGGTTCGGACCCAAGACCTCCCAGTCTCAAGGCAAGCTTGCATACCATTAAGTCAATGGTACCCGATCCAGCTGAGCATGAATTCCAACTTCTGCCATCTGAAGATATACCATGACCACTAGCAAATATCATCGGGGAGTATTTGTCCCCATACCCGACCTGCTGTATCCCACTGGTCATGACTTCTCACCAGAACCCAGATAACTACCTATCTGAATAGGACCAGTCGCTTGTGAGCATCAGATTGATATTCGAGAGTTGATTTGAAAGCATTCGACTTGACTGGTTACAGGATTTCAGCATGAGCTGACATCGGTTAGAGAACCATTGGGACCATTAACAATGACAGTGGCTAGTGATCGCTCTATATCATGAACTGGCGGAAATTGGAATTCGTGGGCCATTCGGTCAGGTCCCAGTGGCTTAATGGTCTACGAGCTCGCCTTGTAGCGGTGAGGTCCTGGGTTCGAACCCTGGTGGTGGGTGCGTACTGCTGGGGAGTTTCAGACTGAGATGAAACAACTATCCATCACTCCCATGTTTCCCAACGGTTCTCTAACCGATGTCAGCTCACGATGAAATCCTGTAACCAGTTAAATCAAATCCCTGTAAACCAACACTCAACTACCACAAATTCTCTTGGTTTGTATTGTAGCTAAGAGATATGACTCTGTCTAATGAAATAGTTAAGCAATTAACTCTGCTACTTTTAAGTGAATATCACGCAAAACAAAATTTTGAATGATCACTGAACAGTTTATTAACTAACATTTGCTTACCTAACACTTAAATACTAACCAATACTTATGATTGCATGGAGGATTTCATCATGAGCTGACATCAGTTAGAGAACCACTGGAAAACCTGCAGGGAGTACTGGACAGCTGTTTCGTCCTAGTTTGGGACTCTTCATCAGTACGAACCCACCGGGATTCGAACCCAGGACCTCCTGGTTACAAGGCGAGCTCGTAGACCATTGAGCCACTGGGACCAATACTTATGACTTGCCTGTTGTAAGATGACTGACTCAGAATTCCAATGAAAAGTAATTAATTGGTAGAGTCTACTACATCAAATGTTCATGTAGTGTTTTGGGGGTCCCAAGCATGTTTGTTAGATAACAGATGTAAAGATGTCTGATAAAAATGTCTATGGTATCTCATCCATAACAAACAATCCTTGGATTTCGAGTAGTTTTAGATGGTTTGAAACGACAACATAAATCTCACCGATTTGTCATCCGTCTTCAATTATTATTTCAGTCGGGCGAATATATTTCTGTTGTATTCTATTTATTTTTGCTTTTGATCGATATTCGTAGCGGAAATCATGTTATATTGTAAACCTTTCTCTTCAAGGTAAGAATTTTGAGAGTGCTTGGGATTTAGTGTTTTAAAAGGGAAAATCTCACCACCATATTACTTAAATTATCTAGCAACCAGTGTTTATAAAAAGGTGTTACTACTTCTTCTATTATTATTATTATTATTACCACTTCTACTCCTGTCATCCTCCACTGAACTAACAGATACTTTTACTAAGGAAATCGTTCAGTCTGACATTAGATTATATAAACATTCGAATAACATACACACAAAGCAAATATCCATGAATACCATGAATCGGATATAATCCCTAAAATCGATTAGTGTGTAAGATCACCTGTTTCTGGTGATAAAATGTCACTGGAACTATAAACCTTATGTCTTTTAAATCAATTCTGTGAAGTTATTGCAATTTTTTCTCTTGCAGTGTGATAGGGCACGTGATACTAAGTCGTTTAATTACTTTTTTGGTTTGCATTTCTTTGACCTTGTGTAAAATAATTTGCTTCATAAAAAGTGATCAAGAAGTAACATGCAGCCAGGCTTAATTTTTTAACATGGCCTAGGTAAAAAAACTTTCTGAACACGTGAAGAACATTAACAGGAAACTTTCTTTAACGAATCCCCCACTCATATCAACTAACAATAAACAGGAAATATTATAATTGAACCGTGACAGTTTGTGGATCATTGGAAGATGATCGGAATATTACATCACTTCAGATTTCATCAACAAGAAAAAAGAGCATTATGATTTACAAAATCACTGAAAACGATGGAGAACCAGACCACTGAACAGTCTGGAACTATAATGAAACATCGGTTTATATCCTGATTGTTTTCAATGGTTCTTTAACTGATGTCACTTCCTGACGAAATCTAGGGTAAAATTAATCGAAATCCCTAGGGGGCAAAAGTGTCAAAATATTACTGTCTAATTACTTAAAGGATTTGGAGTTTACTTGTAAGGTTTATAATTGAAGATGAGGCTTTACCATCACATTTCATTCACAAAATAGTTTCATATACTAAAATGCGATTCAAAACGTTTTCAAACCTATTACTTAATGTTCAAAACCAAATGAACAGTTAGTCGACTACAGCCTATATATCTCGGATTATTTTCTGCAAATAGTAGGACAGAACTAAACGTATACTTAATAACAATAACTTACCCTTAATTGCCCTTTCCAGCAACATCATTCCCATAATGTCACGAAACCATCCAATTTCACGAAATCGTATTACATTTATAAATGGTGTTTCTGAATTCAATTGATTCGGTACTTGTACATTACCGATGGCTACAGCAACAAATCTAGAATGCCATTCTGGTCGTCCACCTTCTTCACGTGAATTACACAACAATGGTTGTAAGCAATGACGTGTAAAATAGGTGATATGTTCACTTCCATCATCTGGTATAAACAGAACAATACGACTAGCTTGTGAAAAGAGACAAGCATTTATTCTTGTTGGATTAGTCCATAGTTCATTTTTTAGATAAGTTGAATTACTTAAGCATAAAACATTTAGATTAGGATATTTATTCATAATATGATTTGACAGGTGTCTAGCGGCATCTTCATGTTTCCAGTAGGATGAATCATTGCTTACATTGTCTGGATAACATTGTCTTGCGTATACAGCAGGAGATAGAATGATAGCATGGTGATAAGCTCCGGTCGACATATGTATGTATGCAGTAAATTCAATTCACTTTATTGAAGACTAATAGTATCTGTGTGAACTTTATAAACCCATTTATCGCCGTTTATAAAAGTGCATGAACTGAATATATATATATTTATGTGTTTGTCTGTTTTCTTTATAATTCTGTTGCACATTTTAGACCATTTTGAGACATATTCAAATTAAGTGACCAAAGAATATACAGTCTTTCACTATTCGATTATATTACACCATGAGACAAAGCTCTATTGCTCAATTTTTTTTCACCAGTGTGCGAATGATAATGATGGGATGAATTCTAAACACTTCATCTGTAGTGCATACAAACACTCGTGTCTGTATGCATACGTGTATATGTCTGTTTATTTATGTGACTGTAGCCACATAGTCTATTGATCAAGCTATCAATCTGCACAATCGGTTAAATGATCAATAGTATTTCGTTTAAATTAGTGAGGCCATTGAACAAAGACTTAATTCAATTACAATGGAACAGTAAATTGTGTGGGTGTGATGATATAGGATACTCAGTCATTGTTACAAAATTTTTGTAAGACTGTCTACTGAATTCTTAACAAATTGTTTAAAACAGACAACAAAAAAAGACAGAGCATTTTACCAGTTGTGCAGCAGTTTTAGGTGGTGTCAAATATAGCTACAAGTGAGCTGTTAATTCTCAGAAGCTAATAAATCATTTCTCTGGTAATTTAAACAAACTGTGAGTAAATTTTTTGAATTGTTATGCAAACTTAGGTGAAATACACTAATAAATGAAAAATGTAAACTACACTGTAAAAATTCTGAGGACTCTACCATATCTTAATATGGCTGTTAGCGTGTTGTAGAAATGTATCATTTGTCCACTCTGTAACTGGAAAAAACAGAATAATATCAATGAAATAACACTTTGTATGTAATATACACTTAAGAATCGTGAAAAAGCAACAGATTCTGCTTACTGGCACTATTCTTCCAGGTCATAAGATATTGAAGGCAACGCAAAGGTAGTTTTCAGCACTTTTAAGATGGCATATTAATTATTGTATTGTAGATTAATGTCACAGCAAGGCATATATCAGAATTCTTTAGAAGCTATTTCTGAAATAGTAGAAGCATCCAGTTGTTTACACGATTCCACTCTTATATACTTACTATATTGTTGGAGTGTGTAACTGTCAGAAAAACTGTATCGTAGTTCCATGTTCTCATATGTGTAGCTCTTGGGAAAAGTCGTATTTTAATTGAATTTTAGATTTTTTCCTGTCGATTGACTGGACCGAAGTGCTCAGGGAAAAAAATCTAAAATTCAATTAAATTAATATGACCCGTTGCACAAGAGGTGGCTCTCATGGCCCAAGTGGTCTAGTGGATAACGCTTTGGCGTTTGAAACTATAGGTACTGGGTTCGAGCCTCGGTGGGAACATCATCACTCACTGAGAAATGCAGGTACATCGAGCTGGCGAGTCCCAAATAGGACGAAATGTGAACTGTCCTTGATTCCACTGCTAGTCACCATCCACCAATTAAAGTTGTATTTTATTAAAACACAAATTATCACACTTCGTTTGAATAAATGAAGGGGTGTTTTAGTTCACTCGAGACAACTCAAAATTTAACTTCCATATTTTAGCATTAAATATTTATTAGACTGAATGCAACCTTTAATATCTTCCTCTAGGGATGACTAAATTTAGAAAATGTGTAATACCATAGTTTCATTTTTATTGTGATGGCTTCGCTTTAAACTGGATTGCTTGTTGAAACTATCTTGCACATACTCATATTTCTTCCGATCTCTGTAGTTTCTTCACAATATTTAAGTTTTAGCTGAACCAAATAGGGGTTGTGGGTGTGTGTGCTGTTAGACGAGTTTGAATACGTCGATAATTAAGAAGAAATATGTATTACAACGAGTCACCATCCGATTAAAACCTCCGACCTTAGTATCCAGTAGTTCCAAGTATACAGTGCACCATTTTCCAATCTCAGTAAAGGTGTGTATTCATGTGAAAGAGAGGCATATTGAAAGTATTCAGCACAATAAAATACCCGCGGTGTAGATTACATCTCTGTTTCCTATAATCAGTGACTGAAAATGTCCAAAATAAGATTGAAATGTGATGAAAGGTGCTCGACGGTTTCAACAAAACTTAAATCTCATTCGGATATATTATCCTTTAAAAATTTCAGGTTTATCTTCACTGGTTAAGTGAAGCAAATCCCTAAATTCAACTAAAGATGTACTGTAATCGATATACATGAAAGCTGCACATTATGGTGAGATTATATTCGAAGTACACGAATTGTTCTCCGGAGAGTAAACTCATTGTATTTGTCTAGTCACAGACTTAAGCTGATCACACTCTACTTGCTAAGTATGTAATGTAGTAGGTAAGTTGAGTGACATACACTTTAGCACACATTTTGTTTCAGTGATAAATGTTTAGAGTTTAATCAACACGAATTCCTGGACCTGAATTTCTCACATATTCGTATTCAACAGCACCGCATGTGTGAAGTCCGCAGCACTGTGTTATTATTATTTATTATTTTTATTGTTTCCTTTAATTCCTAGACGAACATAGGGCTTCAGCCGTGCGTCTCCATTGCCTTCGGTTCTCGGCTACAGTCTTCACCTGGCTCCAAGTGTGCCCACATTCTTTCATCTCCTTTTCACATGATCTCCTCCAAGTCACCCTTGCACTGACGACCAACTCGCCGCTTCCCTTTCGGGTTCCACTCGAGCAATGGCTTGTCTAGTGATGTCACTCACTTGACGGTTTCCTCAGAGTATGGCCAGCCAATCCATCTCCATTTCTTCCTGCATATTTGTTTCACAATCGGTTCTTGGTTGGTTCGCTCCCAGAGATCTCTGTTGCTGATCTTTTCTGGCCATCTGATCTTGAGTGGTATTGAGCGAAGACAACTGTTAATGAAGGTCTGTAGTTTGTTTGAGATGCTCTTTATGACGCACAGTGCAAGTCTCTGATCCGTATAGTAAGTAGCACTGACTTCACATTGGAGTTGAAAATCCGAATTTTATTTCCATTTTCCTGCTGAGTACTGTTAACCTCCACACAGACTTGAGAGTAGTGAAAGCTTGTCTTGCTTTTCCGATCCTTGCTTTGATATCCTCGTCAGTTCCGTGGCCTGTAATTGAAACGATGCTTTCCAGGTAGGTAGGTAAAAGAGGTTGTTTCTTTCAAGTTCCTCCCATTTATGCTGATCGTTGTCTGTTGTTGTTGTTGCTGTTGGTGGTGTTGCCCAGAAATGTTCATCACCTCTGTTTTCTCTATGTTCACCTGAAGTCCTATCTTTGATGCTTCTTCTGCCAACTTGTTGCTTTTCGCTTGCATATCTTCCAGTTTGTGGGAAATCAGACATGTATCATCGGCGAAGTTCAGATCCTCCAAGTTTTTTGTGTGAGTCCATTTTATGCACTGTTTTAGTGTATATTTACACGTTAACTAATTTTTTAGATGTATAAAAATAGTATAGTGACATTCAGGATGGCATTTACTGATCAAGGTAATTTTCTTACAGGGGAAAAGAAAAACAGTTTTTAAAGTTTGAACAGTATATCGGTGGTTCAGCGGCAGAATTTCTGCTAGCCATGCACATGGACAGGGTTCGATTCCCGGTAGACGTATTCCAAAACCCTTTCTTAACAGTGGTAACACTGAAAAAGAGGGAAGATTGGCAGTGAGACTGGCAACCCCATATGATACAATCAGCACCACAGGTTCTGGAACTCCGAAAGCCTGAAGCCATATGTTTCACTCAAGCAAGGAAACTGCATAAACAATAGCTTGAATAATTTCCTTATTTCTTGGTTTTAAGAACAGTGGAGATGCCCAGTTTCTTGTGGCAATAACTGATTGAATTCTTCTAAATACGTTTTACGTGGACTTTATAAACAAATTACGTTCATCAGTTTTCGTCCCAATGATAAATGTAGGGATTCTCCAAGTTTTCAGATTTAGATTTGCGGGGATCTAACTGATTTCAAGTTTGGTCACTTAGAAGAATATTTAAAGCCAGTCAGTACTAAACAGCCGTTTCGTCCTGGTTTTGAACTCTTCAGTAGTATACATCCATGACTGCAGTGAGGATTGAACCCTAGACTATCAGGTTACAAGGCGGGCTCAATGACCATCCAGTCACTCGGACGAAATCCAATGAGACCTGAAATCATACGTTTACTGATCTGCGGTATATTTAGAGCAATCACCAGTCAGTGTCATCGGGGAGTATTTGACTTCGCAGTCTACTTGGTGGATCCAACTGGTTATGACTTCTTTCTAAACATTCAGGTAACTTTATCATTTAGTCAGTTTCTAGTGAGCACTGGACCAATTTCCTAATGTTGACTGACAGGGATTTAATTGATTTCATGTTTGATCGATCAGGTAGGGTGCGATGACAAACAATCCCCGATAACACTGTCTGGCGATCGCGGTATATATATCGAAAAATGGTAGAAGTTAGGATTCATAGATCATTGAATTCCTTCCCAGTGTCTGGGCGGTCAATGAGCTTGCCTTGTAACCTGGTAGTTTGGGGTTCAATCCTCACCGCAGTCATGGATGCGTACTACTGAAGAGTCCCAAGCTGGGACGAAACGGCTATCCAGTACTCCCTGGTTTTCAGTGTTTCTCTTACTGATATCAGCTTGTGATCGAATGTGACATTTTTTTCAGTGTTGAAACCTGGAGCATTGTATCCGCATATGCGGTATGGTTTATTTTTCAGATTTGGCTTCATTGATTTTACGTTTACAGGATTTTCATCATGAGCTGACATTAGTTAGAGAACCATTGGAAAACCTGGGAGTACTGGACAGCTGTTTCGTCCTAGTTTGGGACTCTTCATCAGTACGCACCCAACCGGGATTCGAACCCAGGACCTTCTGGTTGCAAGAATAGCGAGCTCGTATACCATTAAGCCACTGGGACCCGATCCAATAGTCCATGAATTCTAACTTCTGCCAATTCACGAC